TCGACATCTCCGTCGTCACGAAGGAAAAACAATGCCCAATTGTCCAACAAGCACGAGAGAGATTCGTTCCTCCAGATTATTGTACAGAGAATATACGCGGATGCATTCGCGTGTCTACGAGCTTACGAGCTTCTCTAAAAACGGCGGTCACTCGGACACGCGGTGGCGGAAGGAGTAACGAAAGAGTACACGAAGGAAGAATCAAGCTGAGACGGGAGTAACGTAGGGACTGAGGCAAAGGAGAGAGAAAGAGAGAGAAAGAGAGAGAGGATGTGGATATTATCGGTTTTTTCGCCGTTTTTTTTAGCGAAAATCGGGAAATTTTGACAAGGCTCACGATGCCGCAAACAGTGCACACAACTCCAGGAATCTTGGTTCTGACCCACATTGAAAGAATTGCGTCAGATGCAACAGCAATATCGCGAGAAGTCGCATATATAGAAATATAAAAAAGAAATCAAAATAAAATTGAGATAAGCTTTAATCGTAATAAAAATCTTCATATTTTTAGGCTTCTGCGAACAATCGTCGAAGTATGTACATTTAATTTGGAAGCTCTTACGCCACCGTGTGTCTACTCTCTCGCTCGGCTCATAAAAAATTCACATTTTCATTTGAATAACTCTCGCTCGAAAATAATAATCAACTTCGTATAAAACAGCTCTGTACATTAACGAACGTAGCACCGTTTCCAGCATCTCGGACGTCGCCTCTTTACCAAGTGCGAAACGAGTGAATTTTCGGAGATTCGTGAGAAATCTATTCTGCAAAATCTCAACCTCCTAATCCCCGATCGAAATCGGAAATTGTCCCACAAAATCTTTGTGGGTTCTTTTCTGGGTTTTTACCACCGCAAATCTTCCTTTTCGCTTCATTTTCAACTCTAACGAAGGAGTCTCGAGACCGTCCTAATAATACGATTTTCCCGTCTTGGAATTACGGGTATACAAAAGATACGACAGGAGGGAAAGAATTCAGCGGTTTGAGAACCAATCTCCAATTACGGAGATTGGGAGATCTTAATTGTGCAAAACGGATTCCATAGCGTTTCCATCGAATTCACCCCTTTCCTCGTAGACCTTTTAGTCCAAAATGTAGATGTAATAATAATTGATCATCGATCCTCTCTCCCTTTACGCCTGGCACCCGCGAGGTCGCGCGCGCGCGTGCCACCAGCGCGATCCTCCAGCGGGCAACTATTCTATCTATTTTTAGCGTCTTCCGGATTACTAGTTCTGCTGCTTGCTGGCCTCGTGAGGCAGCACGACGCGCTTGGTGAGATCCGGCGGCGCGTCGTAGTCCTGGGAACCGTGGTCGTCGCCGCGGTCCATCAGGCTCCTCGACGGGCTCGGCGAGATCAGGCATTCGTGAATGAAGCTGCACACGGTGTTCACGTAGACGTCGCGGTAGGTCGTGTAGTGCTTGACGTGCGGCGAATTGGTGAAGAGAACGAGCTGCACCCGCACACCGCGCTCGGCCCGCCGGCTCGCGAACTTCTCGACGTCCTGACGAAAAGACAGGAGCTCGTAAATCTCTCTTGTAACGAGATTCCTCTCATTGCATCTAGGATTGTTAATAACGACAACATACATTTAATATTATCAATTTTTATACAGAATTAAAAATTAAACCTTTGCATCCTCTTTCCTAATATATATAATACGTGTTTCCTTTTTTTTCTGTTATTGAAAGCACTTTTGTTGCCAAGAGTCACCCGAAGTTCAACTCATTGTTATACGTAAAAAAAAAAAATAGATGGAAACTCACAGATGCCGGGATCAGAGTGTCACTGTTGGAATACAGGAACAGCTGAGGCCAGGAATAGGCTTCCTCGGCGAGGGCGATCGGGTTCGTTTGAATGGGCGTTCTGCTGAAAGCCTGCGCAATTACCTGACGATCATAAATCGACATATAAACTGTACAGCGTCGGTACAGCTCTGAAATGATCCGATCTATGGACATGATACGGTATCGCCGCCCTGACAAACATACGTTTGCGATGAGATCGTGCTTGGACGTGTTCGGAAATTAATGAAGATTACAATCGTTTTCATGCCCGCTTAATGTTCGTGAGACAATGATCGTGTATCAACGTTCGCTGTTCGTTTACCTCGAAGAACCAGAGCACGGAGAGGAAGAACGTGATGACAAACGACATCGGCAGATTCGTGAGGGGATGACCGCCGATGATCGCGCTGATCGCCTTGAAAAGCGCCGTTAGTCTCCTCTCGCCGGGCGCGCTGTCGAATATCACTCCCCTGACCTGTGATTCCAGTTCATAAATTCTCACATGTGTGTCGGCAGCGAGTAAAAGAGTATGAAACTGAAATTTTACGAGATGTATACACTCTCTGTACACATTCTCTATGCGCTCTCCACTTTAAACGCTCTGCAATTCGTGATTTCAGGAATGTAAAATTTGTAATTTATACACCGTGCATTTTTATACACGTGTCTGCATTTTAAACATTTTATATATACATTTAACATGTGCGAGTGTTTTCAATTCTTCAAATATTTTTCGTGCCTTTTTTCAAATAAAAAACATATAAAAACTTATAAATAAGATCCTAAAATTTTATTCTAAATTTTGAATTAAGCCCATCATAGATGATCTATATATAATGCGTGCTAAATCTATACCTTCAAATTTTATATATACTTCTATTAATATAATATAATATAATATAAATATAATATAATATTATACTGGGTGTCTCATAATAGGTGTATGACCGTTCATGGGTAGGTAGAACGGACTAAACTGAATCGAAAAGTCCTCTACCATTTTGCAAAATTCGCAATCGTTAACAAGATATTAATTTTTGAAGATCGGCGAATAAACTTAATATCTCGTTAATAAATGCAAATTTTACAAAATAGTAGAGGACTTTTTTGTTCGGTTTAATCTACTTATCTTGCCACGCACTTGCATTCAGCGGTGGGCCGAATGAATACGCGTTTATTCGTCAATCTTCAAAAATTAATGTCTCGTTTACGATTGCGAATTTTGCAAAATGGTAGAGGACTTTTCGATTCAGTTTAGTCCGTTCTACCCAAGAACGGTCATACACCTATTATGAGACACCCTGTATAATATTATTATATAATATAATATAATATAATATTAATATAATATAAATTTTGTATGTCGTGTAATTTTATGTACGTACGTATTAATATATTTTACGATGTATTTTTAGTATATATATTTTATACATGTGTTTGTATTCCGATTCGTCTCCATTGTTTTTCATATTACACAAGTTTTACGCGGAGAGGCGTCTACCTTGAACGGCGTGTTAGCCCTCTGCATCGCGAGGCTGACGTGCTGGTACAGGAACGCGCCGCCGTTGCTGAAGACGTGGAAGAATATCGGGTGCTCGTCCAGCCGCTTGTCGGTGATCACCTGCAGCAGCCGCTTGCCGATGTACGGCATCTTGTCCCGGCGCCAGAACAGGCACTCCACCGGCGCCGTGTAACGCAGCGTGATGCAACTGCGAGAGGACGTAACACCGGGATTAATAACGATCAAGTGGTTAATTGCGTTTTCGAGCGCAGCGTCGAACGACGCCGATCGCGATCTGACGACTCGACACGCGCGTATTCGACATGCAACGTTTACATATATACTCACAAAAATGGAGCACTATACTATACGGTCGCATTTCCGACTCCACAAATATGTCGCGTTTCCGCATTGCGCGGCACGTAGAATTAAAAATACAATCCTGTCCCGAGTTCTCTATATCGCGTCCTATTATTAGATCGCGTCTAAAGTGCAAGGTTTAAAGTACAAGACTTCGCGCACCGAGTCGACACACATCGTCGTTTTTTTGCAAATCATTCTCGCGGATTCTACGCCATTTATTGAATGCGCACGCGAGTACTTGGGAGAACCGCGGAATCGTGGCATCTCCAACGTGAGAATTGCCGACCTCCCGAGGGGTATGAAACGCGCCTCGGCGTCGATCGTACGCGCGGTACCAGCGGTTTCACGCGATGTCAGCGGTTTTGGAATACCTCTTCTCCTCGTAAATCGAACTGTATTTGGCCAGGTATCGGTCCTGACAGCCGGCCCATCCTAGCAGGATCACGACCGGCCGCTTGTCCTCCTCGTACACGAACACGAACTCCTCCCGCTGATCCTGCCCGCTTGCGGTCAACGTCGGATCCTTCGGGGACGGCGGAAACGACGGGTACATGATGTAATAATCCAGATCCTCCTGGTCGCTCATCTTGTCCGATTGCCGTGCCTCCTGTTCACGAGGACGAAAGGGAAGGAGAGGGAGAGAGAGAGAGAGAGAGAGACAGAGAGAGGAAGAGGAAGGACGGAGGGAGAGGATGCGGTCGGGGGTGAGGTGGTGCGCCGGGTACGAACTAGCTTCGCCGGGAGGGTGACTTCTACTCGGCGTAAACTTCGAGCTTGCGTCGTTCGAAACGCGCGAACGCGCCGGGGGATCGATATCCGAGGGAGTTACAGGAGCTAGGTCGTGCCGACGACGGCGAGGACGGCGGCGCATGTGAACGTCCAGTCGCGCGTATGCACATGCAGCATACGCAAGAGCGCGGGACTGTCACTCCGGATTTTTGCAGAGAAAAACGTTTCTCACCTTGAAACACATACATTTGCATAATGAGAAATAAGAATAGCGTAATTTATATTCGGAAAAATGAAGGTAACAGCTGCATAAATATAATAGAAGAAATTAATAAATTGGGAAATAAACGAAAGACACGAAGGTCTTCTAAGATTTAAATTTCTATTTAGATTTCAAGAATCGAAATTATGCTTGTGATTTTCCATGCTCCTCGCAATGGTTGATCATCTTTCTAAATCGCGATTGATTCGCGTCAATCGAATTATACTTTCTCGAATAATTTGAATGGATCTTCCGTCCCGCTCGTGGAGCGATCGAAAAGAAGGGATCTGTAAAATAGCGTTCCCCCATGGTAAGAGACCACCCAACGCTACTTCTCGATCCTCCGCAATCCCTTCTGACCTCAGGCGAGTGGCGCCAACCGCGGATGGCACGCGAGGCCGTAGAACGGGTTGCCATCGAGCAGGCGCTTCGCTGGACCGCTCGCAGCATCCGGGAGCTGCGCGCGAGTCTCGCGACGCGCGGGACCAAATTGGAGCGAGCAAGAGAGAGAAAGAGAGTGAGAAAGTGCGTGGGAGGGAGGAAGGGAGCGCGTTTCGAAACTCGAAATCTAACTGAGGAGAACACTCAGAGCCACGCGAGCGGCCGCGCGACACGGTACAAGTATTCGTATGTGAACGACGTGTCACGTTATGTGCATCGAGAATCGTGCGAGCCATGCGAGGCTCGCCTGTGCCGTCTTGTTCCTTGTGGCGATTGCTCTGCCGTTCGGTGAGTGCTATTCATCCTTTTTCATTCTTTTTTTTTTTTTTAATTGTATTACAGACCGATAGAAAGATACTTTGATTTCGTTTCTTGCAAAGATATTTAAAATAATTCTTGAATATCGGGATGTCATTCATTATTATATTCGTAAACAGGACATTGATTCAGATTTTTAGTTAATTTATTATGTAATTTAGTATAAAATAATGTATTCTTATAATGCATGTATAATCAGTATGAATATTTAATATTTATTGGACAATCTTTGTGCGATATTTTATATCGCGTTAGTGATTTGATTTTAAATAAAATTCATGTGATAAATAGCTATTAAATTGAATAACTTTTAATTACATGTACATATATAAATATTTTTAGCTATTATGAATCAAATTACTAGTTGTTTCTTTTTAATGAAAATTAGCTAAATTGTTAACTAAATGTAAACTGCATAAATTACGTTACGAGAGCATATAATATGTGATCACAATCATATGTATGTACATTAATTATGATATTCAATAAGCAGAGTTGTTCTAAAATCAGCTACATTCAGCTGCATTCTAAAGATCCGTATACAGAATTAATGAAACAGTGATCGACTACGTTCTCTAGTTTTTTACGAATGTAATCAATTCGGTGATCAATCTTCGCGCAAGATGATTCAATCTTGAGCACGTCAGCCTGCGTCTGCGTTTTAATTTATATGGCGCGTCTGAAGAATAGAGGATAAAAAAAAAAGAATTACGTCCACGTCCGCGTCCGCGTTCGCGAGATAAAGCTTAAAAACCGCGAGACGAGACGTTAGCTTCGTATTTTAAGAAGAGGCGAGGGGCCCGTGAATAAAGAATGTTTAAGAGACCGTGATAAATATGCAAATTTTGGTGTCTCATGGTTTTTAAAAACCACTTTACGTATTCTCGTCCAAAGTTTAGCCGCGCCGGCTGAGATTTCGCCTCCTAATTGCCTCACTTCGCCGCGCGGACACGTTGCCTCGTAGAAAACACGCGAGAATTATCCTTTAATTAAGTTTTATCTTATTGGAATTATCTATTAGACGGTCGGAAGGGGATCCCGTCGCGCGTGTATGCGGGGCAGTGATACGAGTCGGTAATAAATCGTACATTCTAAGGACGAATTATTCTTCGCGCGCGCGCGCGCGCGAGACAATCTCGGGATCTCCGTCCCGCAAAGATTCACTCCCTCCGCGGGACGGGATGGTGAGGAACGATGTAATAGAGCACACAGCTATCTCGCATTAAATCTCCCTTGTACTTTCATTCCTTAAAGCGCGGAAGAATATGACCCTCCCCATACGGACGGAGATCTCCACCGCCCGCCGGCGACGCCGCCGCCGCGTAATGGAGAAGAACGGTGTAATAGAGACGACGGCTATCTCATACATTAAATCCTTTTCGTACTTTCATTCCTTAAAAAGCGCGAAGAATATGCCCCGTTACACCATCATCTCTCTCTCTCTCTCTTTCTTCCGCGTCCGATGGACTCATATCTTAAAAGTGAAAAATAGTCCACTACATCTCCGGGGGAAATTTCCTCCTCCGTCGTCCGTCGTCTCGGCGGCTTGCGCGCGCGACACGGTATAGAAACACTCCATTCTGACCTCCGGAGCTTTTCCCCGCTTCTACGCTTCTACCCCCCTCGCGTGCGCGACTCGAAGAGCGCGGTCTGTTAATTTTCACGATGCATTGTGGACCGTGCAATCACAATGAAATGCCAGCCCGACACTCGTCCGCCCCTCCGCGTCTTTCTATATAGCTGTGATGTAATTAGTTTTGCCGCTGGACGTGTATTAGCAGATTTACGAATTAACATTAAGTGGATTCTCCCTCTCTCTCTCTCTCTCTCTATGTATGTGATCCACTTAAACAATGAAAAAACAATGAGAGCCGGGCAATCTAACTTCACCACTTAACTCGTTTACGATTTATGCGGTTGTTCGCGCGGTTGGTACATTCGCACGTAATTACGTCGTTGCATATTCTCCGCGCAGAACAGGATTAACAAAATGGCGCAAGATTTACGGAGGGGGATGAAACGCATGCATACTGTTTCTACTGCACTTTTTATCCATTTCACCGCGCTCCGCTTACGGCTTAAATGGAATAATATCGTTCATAAATATCGCAGCGACGTCGCATAAAACTTCAAAATGCATTTGAGTAAGATCTAAATATTTAGAAGAGGGCATATGTTACAAACACATTTGGCGTATTGTTCCGAAAAAATATTTATGACAGCTGTAACGTTTTATCGTTTTAATTAAAATTATAGTAATCGCATAAAAGTGCGAGGGAACAGCGAATGAATGCGCACTTCAGATACGCAATTTAAAATCATTCTTATTATAGTAACTCTCGCTCGAGCTCTATAATTCACAGTTATTACGTAACATAATCTCCTCGTAATCGGTTTTTCTCATACTCGTCTCTGTAGGCAGTCGCGTCAAACGCTCGATGAATTATTCCGCCGAAGGGGCGAGCTTAGTGCATAATGTGGAATAATTATAGGAAGCGCGCCGCGCCGTTTTTCATCGATCGGGAATATTCTTCAGAGAGGGATTATTTATCCTTTTACGAGATAAAGAGAGAAAGAGGGAAAAAGGAAGAGGAAGCGGGGGGGGGAGGGGGAGGTCCTATTGGCCGAGCTCCGGCGCCCCGGAAATTCATTTCGTTCGATTGGCGATGCAACATTATCGGAGGTAATCTCGTCGTCCCCAGCGTCCTGTGTCATGAGCGAAAATTGACAAGGGATCAACTACGAGGCCACGCTCCCCGCGCATCAGTGCGATACGAGCTGATGGAGAAATTCCCCCGTGATGTCGGGGCTTATCAGCAGGTGAACCGATAACGCGGTTTCGCCAGGTGTCGCCGGGAAGTACCGGATGCTGCGGGCGAGGTCTATCTCCCTCGCGTTACCATATATACACCGGGAGTTATTCAAAGTGCCGGGCCGCGATTATGCGCGGTCTCTCGATTCGAAATTATTCCGGCCGTTCACCGCCGCGCGTCTTTCAAATCGCTCAAAAATTGATCGTCGTATATACATCCGAAATTCAGATTCGCTTCGCCCCGTCGAGAGGGTGTATCCCGAGTGTACCCCTTTCCGCGACTCACCGTCGGGCGACGTTCGCCCCGTCTGCATGTAGTCGCGCCGGGCCTTCAGCTGTGCATGGACCGGGGTTGACTCTCGCGAAAACTCGAATGTAACTTTAAAGGGGTGATGACCCGTGAATATTACAGACGCGGAATGCCGCGCTGGGAACGAACACGCTCATACGCGCGCGCGCGCGCGCGTGTGTCTCTGTGTGTGTGTGTGTGTGTGTGTGTGTGTGTGTGTGTGTGTGTGTGTGTGTGTGTGTGTGGATTTGTATGTAAATGAAAAATTACCGGTGCACGTGTGACGATGGGCGCGCACCGTTCGCCGAAATATACTCATTTATTCACGCCCGTGCGCCGGCATAATATGTCGTACATTATGTTATTCTTGTCGAGGCAATGCGAGAATAAACGTGAAACATTCAAGCCGATTGCTGATTTAGGCGTCGCTCACCGTTAAAGATTCAAAGCCCGACTTCCCTTCCTCCACTCCCCTCCCCCTCCCCTCTCCCGTCCCTAAAACCGCTATGTTTGTAGTCAAATGGTATAAACGTGCGGGCGAATGTAAATCGAGAAATGCCAGCCCCCAACTAGATTCTTTATGTGCTCTCGTTGGTCAATCGAAATGATTAAAAGTCAGAAGAATGGCGGCGCGGTTTACCTACGGTGGAATATATTATACCAACGTCGTTTATCATTGATTGAATTTAATTAAACTTTCGCGACAGAATCACCACTCTGCTCGGCCGCGTATTACGACGGAGAAAACGAACGAATTACTCTCTGCTCGCCTAAGGCCAAGCTTAGTCGCTCGCTTTAATTGTTTCCAGAGGCGAAGGAAAGGGAACAGTTTCCTTTTCTTCGTCCCGTTCTCTGTCGCGTGTATACACATTCATGATGTGTACACACATTTACATGTATATTCTGTTCTTTCATATATTTCTCCGATATAATATATGCCGCAAAGCAAAATCGGTTTATAAATCTTTCGAATGCAAATATCAAGGAGCATACAAAAATTTATATCAAGTCCCGAGTGTAGATTTAAACGATCTATAATTCATATCACAGAATTCAAGGTAGAATGTTATTCACAATTTTAATTGTATGATACATTTAAATCAGAAATACGCATACATACAAAATTATATATATATATAATTTTAATTTAATGTATCATTACATCATAAATCTAATTACAATGTAAATTCAAATTATTTGTACACAAATTTAATTTGATATACATATTTAATACATATATTTTATATAATATTTAGATACAAATATAAAATACTCGAAGAGTGAATTTTCTCTATCTCTCTATTTCCCTCTGCGGGATAATAATCGCTTCTTTGGCGAGAAACCTCTTGCGCGGGTATACCTGCATTCGTTAACGATTTCGGATACAGCGGTAACAACGAAGAAAGTCGATTATCGCTGGATTATACCAATTGCCACTTGATATCGCCTAGATTAGACTCAAGGATGCGCAGCTCTCTCGACGGGCTTTCTTCGATAACGGCGAGGGAAAATGCGGCCGGGGTACCGCCTCTTCTCGAATCGAGAGCCTCGTAAAAGTTTCGAGTATAATCTACCGTGAAACTTTCTCCGCGGGCACATGCCGTAGACATCCCTTCGTTAGCGCGCTGAAGTCCATACTATAGCCCGCGAGTGGAAAAATCGCGAGTTCATTGAGAGAAAGGAAAAAATTTCACGTTCCTCCAAAATGAATAGGCGAAAAATGTTACTTAGAATTACTTCCTGACGTGCGCTACCTCCGAAAAAGAGATTCGTACAAGACACTTTACATTCAGTGGCGGCCGTGGGTTGCATTTCCGAACTGAATCATAAAAAAATTTGAAAGACGTCTCGCGAGTGTCTGAAGAACATCCTTCAGGGAGGAATTAAGATATTTCTCGCTCGTCCCTTGGAGATCGCTCGACCGTTCTTCCGCTTCCTCCTCCTTCCTCTCTCTCTCTCTCTCTCTCTCGCTCGCTCGTTTCCCATCAACTCAATTTTATCGCCATCTTCGCGCATTAAAGAATTTCCATATCGACGGGAAGGAGGGGGGGAGCGACGGGCGGTACGCTCGACGGAGCGAAATGACGGGCGGGCACCCGATGACTTCCGGGGTTCCGCGTGGCGTAGTTTCATTGCGGTAACAGTCGAAGTTTCGACCCGAACTCGTGGGCACAAGTGTGCGCGAAGCTCCGGCAAACTTCACAATAGAACTTCCGCATTTTCGCCTCGCTGGCTGCATCGCTCGCGGAGATGCAGTCGCGGAGGAGAAAGAGAGAGAGAGAGAGCGCGCGGCCTCTTTGCTCCACGATCCTCCTTGCGTTCATCTCATCCCCTATTTCGCTGCCACGGCCAATCGAGCCCGGCTCTTGAGATCGCGTCCGCTCCGTGTTTACAGGGCTCTGCCAAAATGCCGGGGCACGCGGTGCAGGATCCGGGGACAGGATGGGATCGGATCGTTCCGGCGACGGGTCGCACACTCTGGCGACCCATCGGCAGTACAGGTAAAGTATCGACGAACTCTCCACGGGGAGGGGCTGTAAAACCCTACCGCTTTTCTTCGGTGATGTAATGCGATGCAAGGAAACGTGAGAAAACGAGACTCCTCACGAGGATCCAACGACGCTCTTGGTTCACGATGACATACCTATATATGCTTTGTCGTCGTACAAATCTACGCGTATCCGGTCGGATGTCACAGGGAAATCTTTAATAGAATTATACGCTGTAATTATAGCTCGGAATCACAAAGATTGATCGAAATGGTAGCGTCAAAGAAGCGCCCCGCCTCGAAACGCGAATAAACTGTAGTCGACATTAATTATGTAATATTAAAGATGGAATATAAAAGAAATTCAATTTCTAATAGTACCGTTCTTTTCAAATACATTTTACTTATACGTGTTGCCGATATTTATGTTCACCCTACATATTTTCATTCGACATCTTATTTAATTTTCATCTGTTAAAAGTAAGTAAGCCGTATAACTCTACATAAATATAAAAATACCATCTCTTAGGACAAATTCTAAAGGGACTTAAGTGGTCTTTTAGAGTCTTGAAACAGTGAAATTGCGCGACGTGGTCCCTCTTTGTTCCCTCGATAATTTATTTAGTAGACTGAGGCAGCGTTTCTCTTAGAACCCTTGTTTTTTGCGAGAGCAAAGATGGTTAGAGCTGTTGTTATCCGGCAGCCGGGACGCATCTTTTGAGGGAATGGAGGCTCTCGAGGAAAACAGAAGGACGCTCTCGTCGCGAGGCGTTATCAAGGAGCCGGAGGAGACGGAAGCGGAAGCGAAAGCGGAGGCCCGCGGCGATGAACGCGGGGACAAACACCTCCTTTTGTCGGAAAATGGTGCGAAAATTCCGCCTCGGCGAAACGTAAATGTCAGTGAGTAAAATCGTCTCTTCCTAATGTTAACGGGGGAAACGTATATTCCGGATAAATCAGTCCCCCGCGGCAAGGTGAAAATGCTCGCGGAGCGAGACACATCCGCACGAATTTCTAAGCGAATTCACGTTATTCCGGAAATTTTTCACGTCGACATAAACACGTATTATATAGGTATTATATAGGTAGTCTGTATTTTGTCAAACACGGATCGGCCGGAAATTTCACTGCTCATTAATCGCGCGTTCCAAAATTTGTCGTTTCCAATCGATATATTTCTGAAGATCAACCTTCGCTATCTGCCCGACAGCGACCTTGAGCAAGCAGCAAGAAGGTAACTTCGGCAGTCGGACGCGCAAAAAGCGTCGCAGGGGCAAGGACGGGCCTGGGGGTTCCGGTGTCAAGGATCGCGTGTACGAGATCACCGAGGACAGTCGTGAGAACGAGATAACGGGCAAGCGGAATCGATCGCCGCGGAGGAGGAACGACCCTTTCTCGAAGTCGCGGCCGAGGAGTCGGGAGGCGCGAAAGTCCCGCGCGGAGCGACGGAGGCGGAAAAAGGACAGGAAGGAGCGAAACAGAGGAAGCGGCAAGGACGCGCGGTGGGGCGACAGGCGGCAGGATGTCGCGCGACGATCGTCGAAGCGCAAGAGGAAGACGCACGACGGCCTGAGCGGGCGTGTCCTGCACGAAACGCTCGACCTAGCCGGGACCAGCAACGCGTCCGAGTCGACGTATGAAAGCCCGTCGAACGTCACTCCCGAGCGCGCCTCGTTGACGGAGGCCGTCGACACGACGACGTCGTCGAGTCTTCAGCGTCGCCCGACGCTCGAGACGACGAGGCGGTTGACGAGAACGACGCCGCGTCGCGGCGTTTATTCGGGCGACACGGTGGAGAGGGAGTTCTCCAAGCAGCTCGAGATGGAGATCTCCAAGTCTGCGTTGAAGGACCCCTCGATCCTAGACGACGGTATTTTCGACACCCCTCCGAAGAAATCGGCCGGACGGAACGCGGGGACGGGTGGCGAGGTCGACGGCAAGAGCGTGGATCGGGACGCCGCCGTCTCGCCGGAGGGCGAGAAAATCGATTTCAAGGGCTCGCATTACGACGCCGAGAGGATGCTGGGCTACTCGAGGACCGAGGAGGATCTGCCGATTCTGGATCTGGAGAACGAGGTGCTGGAGAGGACCCTGAAGGACTACAACGCGTACATGACGTCGCGGCTGAAGCCGTTGTCGTTGCCGCGCCACGAACAGCTGCCGATCCGTCGCACCTCTCATCCGCCGCGGAAGCCGATAATTAATTCCGAGGAGAGCGCCGAGGAGACCGGCGACGAAAACGCGGAAGTCACAGGCGTGACGGGAGCGATGCAGGACGACGGCGGCGGCGGCGGCGGCGGCACGAAAGGGGACTTATCTTGCATAAACGGGACGTTCCTACCGGCGCCTCTATCTCGCCACGCGCTGATCAAATATGTAAAGTAAGTGCTCTCCTACCTTCTATCATCCATAATTCAATGCTGGGTATTAATCCCGGTGTCAACGATTTACACGAACGCCAGCATAAGCCGAGCACGAAGCGTCTTCCGGAGAGCGACTAACGTTAATTTTAATAATCAAATTCTCCGATATTTTCATATCAACTTCTCCTCGATTAAAATAGATATAAAATAGATAATACTTCGATAATAAAATTCTTCGAAGTTGTTCAATTCTTCAGTTTCTTGATTTGATTAAAATGTCAAACGAATAAAAATAGATATATCTTATCTATAATCTTATCTAACATTAACTGATTAACAGCTATCTAATATTGATAATCAACGAAGATTTTGTAGACGATGATAATTTTGTTTCAAATTTGAAAACCAACGGCAAATTCCAAACTTTCCCCACGACGCGCTTACACATTAAAATCAAAATATACCCCAATTGCCATTTAGCGTTAACGCTCCAGAGCCCTCCTGAGAAAACAGAAATTTTATTCGTAAAAATAACTCACCGCGCGTTCATGTCACAATTACAAAGGTCCTCGACCCCGGGCCACGAGTATTTGGAAGCCGATTACGAGTGTGTGCCAGGCTTCCGTATGGTATCCTCGGCGAGCCGATTAGTCTGCAGGAATCGTCAGTGGGTCGGACAGGTGCCAAAGTGCGAGATCAAGCAAAACCCGAACGGGGTGTGCGCCGAGGCATCCTGCGAGCACGTTTGCAACGAAATTAACGGACGTCCCGTCTGTTCCTGCTACGAGGGATTCAGATTGGACGGCCGCAAATGCGTCGGTGAGCATGATTTCGCCGTGCGAGCAATTATCATTAATGGACGCGCAATTTTTGGGGGATTTTTTCACACGTCAACTTCATCCGTCGCGCAGAGCGCGCAAATTTCACGTCTATAATAGTTTTTACGTCAAATTCGTATGGCAGTTAGTTTGACTTCAGATATTTATATCTTAAATATTTTTACCTTCAGTTTGATTTTCCCTTCGAATTTTTATCTCTCTTGACATTTCATTTTCTTCGCGCAAACGCCACCAATTTAAGTCGCAATTAAAGCGATCCCAGAGTAATAATTGCCTCGCTCAAACACCAGTAAAGTATCTTACCAAGTTAATCAATTACGCCTCTGCGCGCGGGGCAAATCACGCGGTTAGACGACAGATTGAACGCTCGACTGCATTCGTTGTTTAGACGTCAACGAGTGTCTACTGAACAACGGCCACGGTCCCTGCCAGGACACCTGTCGAAATCTCGTAGGAGGATACGAGTGCTCCTGCGAGGGTCTGCAAGACGCGTCGCTGGCCCCCGACAACCACACGTGCGAGCGTGACAGGCACACGGGTCCGTGCAGCGTTAACAACGCCGGGTGCTCCCACACGTGCCTGTCCACGATGGGCCGAGTGTTTTGCCTGTGCCCCGACGGCTTCATGCTCGAGGACGACTGGAAGACGTGTCAGGGTAAATATTTGAACGCCGCGGTGAACGATCGATTGTGAAACTTATATATATACAATTGCTTTCTCTCTCTTTCTCTCTCTCTTTGTTTACAATTTTATGTTGAATTCGAGATTGAAAATTTACGAGACCACTGACCGACGTTGACCGACATTTTACGGATGACTAACGCGATGGAATTTTTCGCGATGAATCTCGGGGCCCTCGAGCGATAGAGCGCTGCACTTAGTCCAGATTTTACGCGCCGGCATCCGCGTGGATCTCGCCTGGCGCGACACTTTCGTAGCGGGGGCGAGACGTATCGGGGGGACGTTTGACAAATGGCGATCATTTCCCGTAGACGTGGACGAATGCTCGGTGCCGGATCTTCAGACGGAGCTGTGTCGCTACGGGTGCATTAACACCCCGGGTTCCTATCGATGCGCGGAACCTATGGAGCTGAAGGATCAGCCGGTCCTGGACAGCCTGTCCATCACTTGCCTGCCGGGCTACGAGCAGACCTCCCGCGGATGCATCGGTGAGTCGGATAATGGAAAATTTTCGATTTTTGTCCTCAAAAAATAGGGGAAGGAAAGGGCAGGGAGGGAGGAGCGTTCATCTTCCACCGGCTCGTCTTGCCGGCGTGTTAATTTATGCGCTAGATTAACCGCCGTTTTAACGCAATAAATTGTTCGATAGTTAGAGGGCCGTTGAGAGATAATTCTTATTCATTTTTAAAATGTGATTAATAGCAGTAATAAATTGCTCGATTCAATTCTACGAGAGCGCGTCGCGCGTCTCGTTTTCTTTTTTGTATTAAAAACCAGAAAGTGTATGAAATGTCAAGACAAAATTTTGACAGTATAATTTTCAATGAGAACACGTGTCTGACTACATCCTCGAGTTTATTGTCAGACGACGCGCAGCTACGCGAATTATAGTAGCGCCCGTGAATCCACTTTGCGAATTTGTGCCTGTTAGGACGGCTGCTTAAGTCAGGAGTTAAGCTAATAAGTTCTCGTTAATAAGTCAGGAGCATCGTGTTACCGTTAGGAATGGAGATGTGATCTTCCGCGACGTGTACACGAAAACTTTGTCGGAAACGCCATTATCCCATAAGCGTAAGCTCCCCACGCGCGTTATCTCGTCAAAATAATTTACAAGCCGTGCGTGCGTATATACATTTTCATCAAATCTTTCGTCACGTTTTGTTTACGTACGTCCTAGAAGTATTTCTTTTTACCTGTCGGTTTTCACTTGTAAAATTGTGAATCTCCGTCTCGAGCTCGACGGGATTGACACCAATTCCCCCGTAATATTTTTTACCGTGACCGCGATATTTCGTTGCTTCGCGGGAAGCTCGCGCCCTTTAAGTTCCTCTCTTCAATTGCAAACATCTCGGACAATTCTCCCGTACGATCCCTTCGACGAAAGCACGCAGCAGCGCTTCAGTATTTCCTCCAGGAAATCCGAGTTGGTGTTTTCCCTCTTTCTCTTTCTCTCTCCTTTTTCAGCGAACGAAGTACCGTCGAATCGTAACTCCACGGTCCCGCAAGGACGATACCTATATCACCATCGGTTACTTTCGGATACAGAGAAAGAGAGAGGGGGGGGAGGGGAAGGGGGGAGAGGAAGAGAGAGACAGCCTTTTCTTTTCCGCCAATCGTGCATTCCTCGGGAGAGTAACCTTCTTAGGAGTCCCGCGAGTTTCTCCCCCAATACCTTCGAATATCTCGGCTCGCACAAAATGCAGTCCCCGCTGCAATCCGTTTTGCCGATGCGCACAAGCGCGAGCGGAAAAACGCGACGCTTTTATCGGCATTTTATACGAAATACGCTTCCGCGGGCTTCCTCGTACTCGTACGCGCGCGTATACACTTGTCGTGATAATACGAAAACTCTCCCGCGTAGCGCGTGTACGAAACTTTTGGTGATCGCAGATATTCGTAGCGTAAAATAAAGATCGAAATAATTGAATTTAAACGGCGGGGGGGGAGATGTATATCCAGATCTATACTTATAGACTGTCGTCCAGTATTTTTCCTCAAATCGTTCAATCGTTCAAGAGAGACAGTCTCCTTTACGGCAGTCTCTCTTTTTTCCGATACTCGCGCACGCGCGCGCACACACACACACGCCGGGTAATTCTATGTCTATCCAATTTCGCGGGGCGTAAATCCCTCAATTACAATTGATGCGGCGGTGAATACCGAGTGTGGAACATTACCGCTCGTTTTGATACAGCACGTAACATCAGGCGTTCGCGATTTGCGAATCTCATTCGACGAAGATTCAATCCATTTTCGCCTCCGTTCTCCACACGGCAGCCCCCGGTCGTTAAATAGCCTCGGGGGGGGGGGGAGGAAGAAGTTTTACGTGAACGGCATTTTATAAATGATTGACATTACGAGTCGCCCTGCCCGAGGCGCGGAAATGTGCGGCCGCACGAGAGAATCCCACGACGTGTATTTGCGGGGCGTGATGTGAGGATCGTAAGGATCGTCGTCTTAACGATCGGTGAGGGTATTAAGCTCTCTTTCTCTCTCTCTCTTTTTTAAGACCAGAAGAAGACCGCGCTTCGTGCTCCGCGAGGAAGATAAAAGAACCGTAAATACACGGCGATCCCGTGCGCGCGCGAAATGTCACGTTTATGAGGATCCCTCCCCTCCGCGAGAGATTCCCCGCGTCAAAGTGAAATTCTAATTTCGCTCCCGCAAAGGCAAGAGAGACGCGTACACCCCGTTTTTTGTACCGGCGGTAAAAATGGACTATCGCGAGAATCTTACAATCTCCGGCGGTGCGCGCGACTTAAAAAGAAGAGGGGCCGGCTCTGGGGTGTCGGCTGAAAGAACGCACCACACGAGG